GTTCAAACCACACAAGCCCAACAAATGGAAGGTCACCCTCATCCCAGCCCCACTCTCTAATCATAATAAAAGGCCAGTCTCCTTTTCCTGGTCTCTCATGCTATTTTTGGACTAGCTTGAGAAGCCTGCCTTGGTCTCTAAAGAAAGCTTTATCACAAATAAACCTCTACCCTGTTAGAGTATGTGTGTGTGTGGCATTATCAGTCTCAACATCAGAACCATATTTTGGGCAGGGGTCCATCCTGTTTTTCCCAAGTGGCCACGACACCTAGTTATTTATTTTTTACTTCACATTAAAGTAAATGGATAATTGTTTTTTGTTTTGTTTTGTTTGAGGACAGAGTCTTGCTTTGTTGCCCGGGCTAGAGTGAGTGCCGTGGCGTCAGCCTCGCTCACAGCAACCTCAAACTCCTGAGCTCAAGCGATCCTCCTGCCTCAGCCTCCTGAGTAGCTGGGACTACAGGCATGCGCCACCATGCCTGGTTCATTTTTTCTATATATATTAGTTGGCCAATTAATTTCTTTCTATTTATAGTAGAGACGGGGTCTCGCTCTTGCTCAGGCTGGTTTCGAACTCCCAGAGTGCTAGGATTATAGGCGTGAGCCACAGCACCCGGCCAATAACTGTTTTTTAAATGTGTTGAGTACACAAGGTTAAATGATGCCCTAGATCATAAGTGCTATCAGGAAAGGGGTTTGGGTCTATTTACTTATTACGTATGTAGTCTAGGTACTCAGCACAAAACTTGGCACGTAGTTGTACAGCTGGTGGCGGGCCCTCTCCCTTCCCTAGATCAAAAAAGAAAAGGCTCAGGAGACCAGACCAGACCGGCACAGGACAAAACTGCCAGGCCCACTGAGAGGAACCGCACCCAGAAGTCCACTGGGATAAGAACGTTTCCGCTCCTGGATTCCACAAATACCTCCAGCCCCTCCTATTTCTCAACGACCACCCAAGGTCACAATGGAAAAATCCCAGCTCTTTCGGCCAAAAGTCCCTAGCCAGGCCCAAAGGGTATAAAAGGCCTCAGCCCCTTCAAATGGAGGCAACTTCTGGTGTCCCCCTCTCTTGGGGCCCCAGAACCTCGTTCAGGAGTGTATAATAAAGCCATGTGGTTTGGCCCCTTTCTCTCTGTCTGTCTTTTCTTTTCGCTGCCTCCGAAAAACCTTACAATAGTAAGTGGTCAATAATCATCTGCTGAATGAATAATTATCAACACCCAAAATCAATACTTTCCTAAAATAATCAATTAAAAACATTTAAAAATTTTAAATCCCATACAAAATAGAAAACAAAACTAACAAAAATTATACAGTATCTTTGTGGCAAGAACTTGAAAAAGTTTATTGAAGACCTCAAAGGACACTTGGATACACGTGGAGCTGGACCAAATCGACAGATGAGTGTGGGCCCAATACTGAAACCATGACAACTCATACTGTCACAGACTAACCTGGAAAAGCAATGCCTTCGTAATGCAAATTCTGTAGGAATTTCACTGGAACATGGCAAAATTCATATAGAAGAGGACAGCCCCTGAAATATCCAAGACATCTCCTTAAAAAACAAAAGGAAGGGAGGAAGAGGAACTAGGAGCTGTTCTACCAAAGTCAAGTCTTTTCCTAAAGTTTCAGTAACCAAGCAGTCCACGAAGCTCTGGGAAGGAAGAGAGCCCCAGACAGAATTGGAGGCCTATAACTTGGCAGGTGGTAAAGGCAGACTCACACATCAGCAAGAGTATTTCTTTTACTGTCTTTTCAGATGGGAAAATAATGACAAATCCTTATTTACACCCACTGTCACACACAGATGTTTATAAATTCCAGATGGACGAAAGACCTATACAGTTAGAGAAAAAAAAATTTAGAATGACTAGAATAAAATATAGAACTACAAAATATCACTGAGTTTGGGTAGAGATATTTCTTAAACAACACAAAGAGGCACAAAACATAAAAATATATGAAGCATCATGCTATATCAAAATGAATACTATAACATGAACATAAGATTAAAAAAAAATTTAAAAAAAACCAAAGAATTATAAATACTACCCCAAGGGCAGCTTAAAGCAGAGGACCCCAGCAGACAGCACTTTGATTATATGAACCAAAGTCTAACCACCACCAACCTCACATGCCTCCTGATATGAGGCTCCCCAAAAAGCATGATTTCACCTAGGTAATTTCCTGCCAAAGATGGATAACCTGACAAGAACATCAACTGAACACCAAGGGACAACCTACAAAATAACCAGTTGGGTCTTTTAAAAAACAGGAAAGTTAACCTCAAGGCAAAGTGTTAAAAGAAAAAAAAAAACAGGAAAGGATAATACCATTTAAGTTTGAAGGAAATTAAAAAGACATGACAACTAAATGTGATAACATGGGCCAGGTAGCTCATGCCTGTCATCCTAGCACTTTGGGAGGATGAGGCAGGAAGATTGCTGAGGCCAGAAGTTCAACACCAGCCTAGGTCCTGCCTCGACAAAAAATTAAAAAGTTAGCTGGGCAGTAGCGGTGAGTGCCTGTAGTCCCAGCTACTTGGGAGGCTGAGGCAGGAGGATCACCTGAGCCCAGGAATTTGAAGTTGCAGTGAGCTATGATGATGCCACTGCACTCTAACCTGGGCAGCAGAGCAAGACCCTGTCTCAAAAAAAAGAAAGAAAAAGAAAAGAAAAAAATAACATATGATCCTGGATTGGATCCTGGATCAAAACAAATACAAAACAACCAATCCAGCTACAAATAGAGTTCTGTATTAATAATAAAGTATTTGCATATGATAATAACACTGTAGTTTTGTTTAACAATGTTCTTATTCTTAGGAGATCCAAGGTGAACTGTCATGACATCTACAACATACTTTCAGTAATTCAGCCAAAAAACTAAGTGTATGTAAATACAGTGTTATCACAACTGTATGTGTCACACCCTACGTATTTGTGTATGTCTGTAAAATATAAAAAGAGAGTATATGCATGTGCTTGAGACAGGGAGAAGGCAAAAGTAAAGCTAATGTAGCAGAGTGCTAATAACTTGAGAATCTGGATGTTTTACACATGTCTACAAAACTATTCCTGCAACTTTTATGTAGATATGAAACGTTTCCAAATAAAAAGTTGGGTGGAGAGAAAGAAAACAAGCATTAGAATGAAGAAAAGTCAAGCTTAGCATTCAAAACATATTTTTACAGACCCAAGTCATAAACAACGAAATTTTTTAAATTGGCAAAGGGTAAGGGATCTTTCCAAGGTGATGGTAATTTTGATAAAAGTTTAGGTTGCATTTGTCAAAACTCATCCAATGGTACAATAAAGATCTATGCATTTCAGCCAGGCGCCATGGCTCACACCAGTAAGCCAGTAATCCTAGCACTCTGGGAGGCCGAGGCAGGTGGATCGCTCAAGGTCAGGAGGTCCAAACCAGCCTGAGCAAGAGTGAGACCCAGTCTCTACTATAAATAGAAAGAAATTAATTGGCCAACTAATATATATAGAAAAAAATTAGCCGGGCATGGTGGTGCGTGCCTGTAGTCCCAGCTACTCGGGAGGCTGAGGCAGTAGGACTGCTTGAGCCCAGGATTTGAGATTGCTGTGAGCTAGGCTGATGCCACAGCATTCACTCTAGCCTGGGCAACAAAGCAAGACTCTGTCTCAAAAAAAAATAAATCTATGCATTTCACTTAAGGTCAATTTTGGCTGAGAAATTTTTTAAAAAGCAATACTGAAGTCTAATTCACATTGGGCACAATGAGGTGTTTGAGAGGTAAGTAGAGTGATATGGGCAATTTACTTTGAAAAGTATCCAAACAAAGCTAGATTAATGGATGGCTAAAAGGATGGACAAAAGGAAAAATCCAGGATACAGCAAGTATAGGAGACGTTAACAGGTTGTTACCACACAAGCCTTTCAGCTTTTCTACAGGCACAAAACTTTTTATTATAAAATATCGGGGGAAAGGGAGAGAAGGGGCCAAAGGAAATAAACAACTAAACCAAGGAAGACAGCAAAATAACCACTAAACAGAAAAACACGGTCGTCACTGAAACTGCAGCAAACTGTGATTTTTGCAAATATCAGACGGAAAAAGAACAGGCGACCTGACACTAGCAGGACTCAGTGAAAAAGCCCTTAGGAGCAATATCACTTGTTTCTTGTCAGAGACCGGCCGATACCTGCAAAGATTCCTCCTGTTTGGGCCTAGGGACCACAGGTAGCCAATAACCAGCCATCAGCTTCTGTATTATGCTGCTTGCCAGCTTAGGAGAGTGGGAAATTTTCAGTTGACCCTTATCTGACTCAGCACCTGCCATCTCGCCTGTGCTAGGGTGATTAAGTTTAGAAACTAAGGGGAAGGGCAGTGGTGCATGGCACAACTGACCACAGGATATAGCTGCTAGTCCAGGGTCAAAGCACCCTGGCCCCCTGAGGCGCCTGACAATGCTTTCTGTACCTAGTGAACTGCGCTCAGGCTTAGATCACAGGATGCAGGATGTATTTCAACTAAGATTAATGCTGTCCATAATTAGGATACTTCAGAGGCTTCCCCTCGGATGAATCTTAGCTGCCGCCGGTGACTCCTACAAAACCCATCTCAAGGCTCCAACTACTCCCACCCCGTTTGTGCTAAAACAAGATAGAAATGTAAGATTAATGTTTTCTCTTGCTTTTGTAAAAGTGCTTGCTAATTAGATTTTTAGAGTGTGGGGTTTTTTGCCTTTAAAAGGGGGCCATTTTTCCCTGCTCATCACTACTTTCTGTGCCTGCCACTCTGCAGGACAGGAGTAGTCCTGGCCAGTAAATAAAGACTCACAATTTGGCCCAATTCGGTTTCTAAGGTGGTCTTTTCTCGCACTTCGGACTATAGTACTGCCACCGGACAGCAGAAAAGAGGCAGACCCAGGGGCTGCCCCAGCAGCCGGGCTAGGACACCCAAGAGGCCCCAACGTGTTGGCCACAGTGGAAGGCGTGCTCAGAGGTGAGAGCGCAGAACTCACAGGGGACGCGAAGGGAAGAGCAGGGGCGTCCACACCAGCTCCGGGAGACCCCGCGCTCAGAGGAGCGTCCACGCCGGCCTGAGGGCAACTTCGCCTGCGCCGCCGGGGGCGTCCACACCCGCGAGGACCGCCGCGCCCCGGGCAGGACCCCCGCCCCGACAGGTCCGACGCGCCCCCTACGCGTGTGAAACCACCCGCGGACGCGCCGCTCACCGCCCCACCAGAACCCGGCGCCCTCACGCCGTCCTTTAGGCGGTGGGGAAACCGAAGCACTGAAAGGTCGATGCGCGGGGCGAGGCTCACTGCGGTCGGGCGGCAGCGGCCATGTTCAGGGCTGGTGCGCATGCGCGAACGCCGGGACCCGGATGTGCACCTCCCCGGAGGCTCTACGGCCCCTCCTCGTTCTTCCGGGTTGATTGACAGCGGCGCGCTCTGGACCCTCTCACCCACTGCTTCTTACCCACGCCCCGCGCCCCAGACCTCTCGCTCTTGACCTCTCTCAGACGCCCGGCGCTCCCGACCTCTAGCCGGCGACCTCTGACCCCAGCCTGGAGTCCCCGACCTCTAGCTGCCACCTCTCACTGCGCACGTCGGTCCCGCTGCCCTTCTTGCAGCTTACTTATTTCCTTACCCGATTATCTTTTTATACCGCTGATACTTCTTTTCTCCTGTGGTTTTTTTTTTTTTTTTTTTTTTTTTGAGGCAGAATCTCACTCTGTTGCCCAGAGAGCCGTGGTATCAGACTAGCTTACAGCAACCTCAATCTCCTGGGCTCCAGCGATCCTTCTGCCTCAGCCTCCCGAGTAGCTGGGACTACAGGCATGCGCCACCATGCCCGGCTAATTTTTTCTATGTATTTTTAGTTGGCCAATTAATTTCTTTCTAATTTTTAGTAGAGATGGGGGTCTCCCTCTTACTCAGGCTGGTTTCGAACTCTTAACTTTGAGCGGTCATCCCGCCTCTGTGCCTGGCCTCTCCTATGGTTTTAATCTGATGCTATCATTGTTTCGTAGTGGAGCCTTTTTATTTACTGTATAGTTTGCTAAAATGTTTCTATACCATAATTTATTAATTTTTTTATTTTGAGAAAAGTGAAAATTCAGATAAGTATGCCTCATTATTCATTGACAATATAATTAATTCCTTAGCAAAACAGAAGCTACACATTTTTTAGAATGAATAGGACGGTTAAGGATTTCACATAGAAGATTAACAATACAAATCAACACATGAGTTATAGAAAAATCAAGATGTAAGAATCGATAATAAGCAGCTAGGAAATGTGCTTTGATGTTCCTGCACCAGCAGGTCTCCCTGGCAGGAACTGCTTCTCAGGACCCTTTAGCATCTTATTATCACACAAAGGAACTGCCCAGGGGCCTGTCTTTACTGACCAGGCCACCAGCGAGCTTTCCTAACACACCACAACTGTTTCCCTTGCAAACAGTGGAAAATAAACTCCAAGCACCCAGCAGAAAATTCGACATTAAGAAACTTTAGGCTCCAAGTAACACAACAATTAAATATGAGGCTCAAGCCAGGTAGACCCTGCTAGCTGCCAACTTAAAGTCCATTATCCTGTTTTCCTTACTAAAAGAACCCCAATTTCATGAGGGATGGTAGTAGCTAAACATCTAGAAACCTTGGTTTCTCTTGTACTTGGGTCATCCACGCCACACAGTCTGCACAAGATAGAAGCTGGAGTCTATCACATGGAGTGTCTGGAAAAGCTAAGTGGGAGCATACTTCCTGCCCATGGCTCTTCCCCTTCTTCCTGCCTGGAGATGCCTCAGCCTTTCAGCAACCATGAGATCAAAGACCCAGACTAAGAATGGCAGAGGAAGATGTTAAAAGGAGCTTGGTCTTGTGACTTTCTCAAGTTGTGTCACTGCCTCTGGATTGCCTATTTCTGGAGTCCTTGTCAGATGAGAAAAATAAAACCCCTATTTGAGTGGGCCTTGGCAGTCAAGTTCCAAACCCTAATGGACATGATAGTTGTACATTGCTATTACCAAGTAACAGCAACAAAAGAGAGAAGCAAATGCTATTTGAAATACTAGCAAGACTTCATAAAAACACAATTATAGGGGAAGATTTAAACATATTATCTTAATAATGTGGCACTTTGTAGATTAAAAAAAATCAACAAGTATGACAGAGATGGCTACCTGGTTGTCAGGATTCTTGCCCCAGCTCCGTGGTGTGGAGTTGCCAGTCAAGGGAGCTGCTCCACCAGGGCAAGCTGAGGAATGCTGGCAGCCTCTACGGTCTGGGAACAGCCCCCAGCTGACAGCTGGCAAGAAAATGGGGATCTCCATCCTACAACCACAAGGCACTGAATTCTGCCAACAACCTGAACGAGCAGGGAAACAGATTCTCCACGAGAAAAGAACACAACCCTGCTTACATCTTGATTTTAGCAATGTGTTGGACTTCTGACCTGCAGAACTATAAGATAACAAATCTGTATCAAGCCACTAGGTTTGTGGTAATTTGTTACAGCAACAATAGAAAACTTATACACCAGCTACAATGGAATTTTGGTGCTTTGAAGCAGGATGTTGCTTTACCAAAAACTTAAAACACATGGCATGAACTTAAAGGGCAGGCAGTGAGAAAATAGATACCGTGGAATAGAAAGCTGGAGACCGCATTACCATGGTCACAAAATGTTCAGCAAACTGCTGGATGCAATAACTCGGAAGACCAGGGCAGGCTGGGGTTGGTGGAGTGAATGGCCAGATAAGTGACCAACTACCACAGAAGGAGGGTCCTCTGGAACTGGGCTGGCTGCTGCACCTGGACAGGACTGTGGCGCTCCTTGGGGAAGGGAGTGCTGTGTGTTACAAAAGATGTGCACAGATACCTGTGGCTAGAGGTGTCTGGTGCTACCCTGCTCTGTTTCAGAGGGTGGAGGTCCTGCTGGGATGTGGCTGCCCAGCCAGGGGCCCACTTCCTAGGCTTCCTGGTATCTAAGTGTGGCTGCATGGCTGGTGCGCACCAACTAAGGAACAAAGGGAGTGGGCATGAGTGATGTGGGATAAATGTGTGTGTGTGTTCTGACTGCTCTTCAGACCACCTGTACCCCCACATCTCTCTCTCCCTCTCCTCAGGCCTTCCTATTCCCTGAGACACAACCAATGTTAAAATTAGGCCAATTAATAACCTTATAATGGCCTCTAAGAGTTCAAATGAAGAGTTGCAAATCTCACAATCCAAATTAACAGCTAGAAGTGATTAAGCTTAGTGAGGAAGGCATGTTGGAAGCCAAGCTACGCCAAAAGCTAGATCTCTTACACCAAACAGCCAAGTTGTAAATGCAAAGGAAAAGTTCTTGAAGAGAATTAACACATTGCCACACTAGAAAAAAAATTTTTTTCCTTGGGGCCACAGTGTCATATTATGAAAATATAATAAAAACTTTGAAAACAAAATGATCCTTTCTAATTTAATGAAAAATTTATTTTGTATTGTTTTCTGTGTGAGTTATATGCAACTTGAAAAAAAGTTCACTTGGCTCCCAAGGTAACAAGACACGTGAGTTACATATGCTTCACGAAGCCCCAGGCTAAAAACTAGCATCAGTTAAATACAACTCACATGACAGTTAATGTGTTTAAAATGTTCCAGTCAACATACAAATGATAAGAAAGCAAAACAGCCTTGTTGCTGACAGGGAGAAAGTTGTAGCCATCTGGATAGATCAAACCAACTGTAACATTCCCTTGAGCCAAAGCCTAATCCACAGCAAGGCTCTAACTCTTTAATTCTATGAAGGCTGAGAGACGTGAGGAAGCTGCAGAAGAAAAGTTTGATGCTAGCAGACGTTGGTTCATGAGACTGAAGGAAAGAAACCATCTCCATAACATAAAAGTGCAAGGTGAAGCAGCAAGTGATGATGGAGAAACTGCAGGTTTTATCTAGAAGATCTAGCTAAGATTATTGAGGAAGGTGGCTACACTAAGCTACAGATTTTTGGTGCAGACAAAAATAGCCTTCCATTGCGAAAAGATGCCATCTAGGACTTTCATAACTAGAGAGCCGGCAATGCCTGGCTTCAAAGCTTCAAAGCACAGGCTGACTCTCTTGTTAGAGGCTGATGCAGCTGGTGACTTTAAGGATTTACTGCTTAGAAAAAAAGGTTCCTTTCAAAATATTACTCTTTTTTTTTAAAGACACAAGGTTGCCCAAACAGGAGTGCAGTGGCCCACTCACAGCTCACCACAATCTTAAGCTCCTGGGCTCGAGTGATTCTCCCACCTCAGCTCCAGAGTGGCGCGCCCCGCTGAGAAGCTGCCTCCCGCTCCAGGTCTCTTCCAGGGGCGACTTCCTGGGACTCACATTCCGCAGCCACTAAACCAACAACACTGCAGACTCAGAAAAAGAGCCCCTGCCCCATCCATCCGTGATCCTCAGACTCTGCGGAGGCCGGCCGGGCGGGGCATCACCGGCCGGGCACCCAAGGACAGGTGGCTCCTAGGGCACGCTGCAAGCGGGGCGCGTCCCCGAGTGCGGGCTACGGGTCAGGGGCTGGGCGCACCCCGGCCGAGCCACGACACCGGGATAAGCAGAGACTCTGGGCCTCATGCCAACTGCGCAGCTCTGCCCGCGCCCCGGCCGCTGCCAACCCCCCGATGCGCGCGCCACTGGGCCTCACGCTCTATCCGGGCCTCCAGCAGCATTGCGCGCGTGCTTGTGCGTCAGCCGCCTACATTTCCCAGAAGGCCCCGGGCCCGGGGTGTCGCCTTCTTCCCGTGGGTCAAGTTGGCCATGGCGACGGCGCCCTCTGCTGGAAGTGCGGGAAGTGGCGACGGGCCGGACTGGCCCCCTCCTCTGGACTTGGGCTCAGCCAGGGCGCCTGGCACCGCACCAGTGGTGTCCACACTCAGACTCCAACTCCAATTTTTTCTATTTTTTTGAGACAGAGTCTCACTCTGTTGCCCAGGCTAGGGTGCCGTGGCATCAGCCTCGCTCACAGCACCCTCAGACTCCTGGGCTCAAGTGATCCTCCTGCCTCAGCCTCCGGAGAAGCTGGGACTACAGGAACGTGCCACCATGCCCGGCTGATTTTTTCTATATATATTTTTAGTTGGCCAATTAATTTCTTTGTATTTATAGTAGAGACAGATTCTCACTCTTGCTCAGGCTGGTTTCAAACTCCTGACCTTGAGCAATCCGCCCACCTCAGCCTCCCAGAGTGCTAGGATTACAGGCGTGAGCCACCACGCCCGGCCCAGAATGTTTTTCAATACACAGAAACCCAGTGGTTTAGAGACTGTTTAGTAACTACCGAGGGGTAATTCCCTCAGTCAAAGAGGTGTGAACTTCAGAAACATTAAATCTATTGAATTTACTTTCCCCTCACATTTTTAAAGAACATTTCAAACACCCAGAAAATGTAAATGAATTTTGTGTACACCCACTGTACCCAGCCCCTAGATCGGATAACTAACATTTGACCATATGTGCTTTGTCATTACCCACATATCTATGGTTGGATCTGTTTTGATGGGAATCAAATGGGATTAACAGTGACTATGGATTCAAACAGACTGGCTTCTGCATATGATTAGTACCGATGCTTTATAGCACCATACACTCAGACAAAAGACTTCAACTCTCTAAAAGTTTGTCATTTGAAAATCAGAGTAGAGTAGGTAATGTAGAGAGCTGTGTAAGGACTG